TCGCAACGGTGGCGACCCTGTGGAAGAGAACGCTAGGGTCTGGAAGACAAGCCTTTGACTCCTCTTAGCTTTGCTGTGTCCAGCCCTCCCTGGTGTCAGAGGCTGAATAGAATTACGGTGCTGAACATGACTTGCTTACTGTACTAGTTATAAACACTTGCTTGGGATTTGGAACTGGCTCTGAGGTCAGGCTCCAGCCAGAACTATCTGTGTGTGGTGTTCGGGAAGCTACTTAAACTTTCACAGCCTCAGGTTCCCCGTGTTTAAATGGAGAGGGGTGATTATACTTGACAGAACAATGGTGGATGATTGAATGGCATAATGCCCGTAGATTACTCAATAAATATTAGCTGTTATGATCATCTCTGCTAGAAGAACTTTTTGGACTCATTCATGTAGAAGTTAGTAGCAGCTAACTCACCTCCTCCAGGGTAAGAGTTGATCAGTGGTTAATTCTGAAGCAAAGCAATCTACTCAGAACTTATGAAATATTTCTGGCTCTCGACACAGTGTTTGGAGAGGGTTAAAGGGCCAGCCAAAGCCATTTGAGTTACTATGGCTGCAAAATTAAGGACCTATGAATTTTAGGAAATTTCAAAAATTTGAACTAACTTGGCATGAAATAATTATCACTAACAAATAGACTAAAAATAGACATGGAAGGGATTTTCCATTTATAATCTACTTTCAACAGGAATATTTTCCTTTTATTCACTGCTGCAGGGCCAAAGGGAGTAATTAAGTGCTGAACTAGGTTGTTGCTAAAGTTAAGGAGAGGCTGGCAATATGAGATAAGGGAGAAAAGCCGGAAAATAATTTCTAGCCTTAATGGCATAACTGGAAAATGAAAGAAGTTTGGTCATGAAGGTTATAATCAGGTAGGAATACAGATTTTTCTCCTAGGTGAGGCCACTGCTGTTTTTGCCTTGGATGAAATTATTGCCTGGAGTTTGCGAGGGGTTATTCTCCTTGGAAAGGAGACATCATCTAATGTTTTCCATGTGTTGAAGGTGTTCATGTCATTCTAGCTGCAGATTAGATTCAAGGGGATTCCCTGTAATCTTCTCAAAGTGAGAAGTGGCTGAATCATAACCCTTATCTCTGAGGCTACAAGAGAATGTGAGTCTCAGAGCCTACAACCATTTCCTGCCGGCCCCAGGGTGCACTGCCCCAAGGCTGCACACCAGTTAGCCCCTTTAAAACCAGGTGGGCCGTTCCCCTGGCTTTCAGAGAGGGCACAGGGTACAGGAACAGCCCTGCTTCCTCAATCAGCTCCCACCTTTGGACATGGCAACATGGTGCCAACTTGTCTGTGATGAAAATCAGCAGTAATGACCTCATCGCCACCTCTCGTGTCATTCTTCTCTCTCCCGGGGCTGAAATTTGAACTTTTCTATTTCCAGGCAAGACAAGTGCCCTACCATGAGTTGCCCTTCCCTGAGTGAGCACCATGAAAAATGATATATGCCGGGCTATTCTGTAAAATCAATAGACAGCAATGCTGGTTGGGGGCTTCTCCACTGTCTCGGCCAATGACCGGGAGACAGACATTGTTGAAGGCTCTGTAAGAGGTAAGCCCCACCTGACTCCAGGAGACAGGTGGCATAGTGGAAAGAATGGGAGGGTTTTAGTCAGAAGCTCTGGGTTCAAAGCCAACTTTGCTCCTCACTTATGGAAAACCCTCAGATGAGTCACTTGACTTCCTTGAGCCTCATTTCTTTTTGGTCATAAAATGGAGCTAGTCATTCATCACTTATAGTGTTAGACTATGAATTATGAGAAACCATAGGCAAACCCTTCTATCACACATGCAATATGTGACCCTCATCATTAACTATTTTGATGTTGTACCATCACAAAGGGATTGCGTATTAAGAGTCAACTAAATGTGTGTTACCTACTTCGACTTTTCAAACTGACATGATTTCAGCATGGAGGGAGTTGTGTTTTAAGGGGGCAAGATTTTTTTCCCCATGAGGAAGCATGGCTGTGTGTCTATAGAAACCCAGGGGTAGGGGAGAGTAAGTGTGCTGAGTTCTTTGTGAGCATTAGAAAGGGTAGGATTAAGAGGGATGTGTTTTTTCATTCTGTCAGCTTGAATTCCCTTTCCAAATTCCATTCTGGTTATATGATCAGGCTACCGCTGTATTTATGGGTGGCCACAGTCTGGCTGGAGGGGCAGATTTAGTCAGAAAGGAAGTTCATTCCTTCTAAAGGTAGTTCAAGAAACAGCTGCATTCAGCAGGTACGTGCTGAAATATGCTTCTGATTTGGGGATCAAGGGGACATGGGTCTGAAAACTGGCTCCCTCCCTCTGAAACTCAGGAAGATTCACTCATTCTCTTTGCTTTTCAGGCTATGTCTTTGTCTAATAGGTATAGTCCATCTCCCAGAGACATGTGGCTATTTAGTGAGATTATATATGCAAAGGGCCTATATGTTAGAGAGTAGGGTTTTCATTGTTATCTTCATAATGATAACAACAGGGTTTGGCTATCGTTATCATTAAGTTAATTAAAACGATCGTCCTCCACTTAGCATTTTAAACTTCCCGCATATATTCTTGTCGACTGTACTGCTTGGGAAATTTCTCTGACCTCCATTACTGGTGGGGATTCAGAGGGGCATGGGTCCTCGTCAAATGCAGAATCGCACCCTAAATATGCACCACCTGGCTTCATGACGTTTAACAGTGTTTGGGGAGTTCAAGGCTCTATGGAGATGTTCCAGAGGCGGGGGGGCGGTGTGCAGGGAGTTTTTGATCTCCCACCCCCATTTCAACCCAATCAGCCCCATATTTACCTGTTGGGGTTTTGCCCTCAATTTCATTTAATGGATATTTTCACTGCTAAAAGGGTTTGGAAACCACCATCTTAGAACATTATTTGGTCTTGGACAAGTCCTAGTAAATTGATAAGCAATAACACCAAGAGAAGCCCCCAATTTATTGAGCTCTTACTATGTGCCAGGTACTGTGTCAACATTTTGCCATATATGATCTCATCTGAGCATCACAGAGCTATACAAGATTAAGATTGTCACTCTCTTAAGTGGATGACAAAGCTGGGGGCTAAAATATCAGTAACTTCTTAGGGGTTAGGGAGAGAGTGGGAAATAAGATAGGGAAACAAGGTTTTTCAAATGCAGCATAAAAAAAAACTTTAGCAACTGTTAAGTTTGGCAGCACCCCTTTAGATCTTTATCCAATTCAGGCTGTTTGAGAAAATCAGAGAACATTCATAGTGTGCACCCTCTTCTTCTCCCAAACACTGTCACCTTCCTGCAACTCACAGGGTCAACGCACACTCACTCACATCTACCGCACAGGGCTCGCACACACCCTGTGCCAGTGAACTTCCCGCAGGTTTCTCTAGCACTGAACGACCCTATCCCCTGTCCTGCGCTGGGCTTGTCCTATTGCAGGACGAGGCAAAAAGCCAGCTGGGCTGGGCAGCAGGTTGCAGTTCTAAAGCACATATGGAAAAGCACCATAAAAAGTGAGGGGGTGATCCACAAATACCTGGGAAAGAAGTATCCATTCTTCAAGCGGGGTGCTCAGTCCTGCCCTCCTTCTGGATGGAAAGCATTTCCAAAGAGGCCCCCCGCCCCCACCGGCAGCATTGTACATTACAGCTGACAGCTTTAGAATCCGCAGATGCCCAAGCTCAAAACCTCGTGCATTCTGGAATGAGAACCCGGCATTTACATCCAGCCCCAGGCAGCTCCCTTTTCTCCCAACCTGTGCCAACACAACCGCCTGCTTGCAACATCTAGCCGAGACTCTGACCTGCCAGCCTGGTGAGACACCTCAGGCCTGGCAAGGTAAAATAACAGGGTGGGGACAGGTGGGTGAGGATCGTACAAGCAATGATCGGAGGTTGGCTAAGTACCTCTTTTTGCTTCCAAGGCGATAGCAGTTTTTGGCAGTGCCAGCAATGATCCACACTTTCAGTTGTTGAGCAACCACTCATTTTCTCTTTATCAAGATAGCAGAAGTTACTGTGCCCATTTAGGAGAAGTGGAAACTGAGGCTCACGGAGGTTATGCATTTTCATCAGGGTCACAGGTTTGGTGGTGGTGGCAGCGGGGATATTAAAGGGTTTCCCAGCTTCAAAACCTGAACCCTTAACCCCCTACAACACCAATGAGGGAGAGGAACCCCTATGTTCCTTCCACAGCCAGTCAGGGGATTTAGAATTCCCATCCCCAGGAGAATTGGATTCTCAGGGCTTTCTGTGATGAGAGGTGAGGAGGGAGAGGTGATTCCCGAAAGATACGGGATCCTGCTGGCTCTAAGCTCTCCAGACATGTCCAGGTACCCAGTCCAAGGCTCAGCAGATCAGGAGGCGCCCACAGGGAGACCCCCAACCCTTCAGAACAGAGGCTGGTGTCCAGCACTTGGGCCTCACAGCCTGCAGTTGTTCACCTGAGCCTAGGAGTCACCCTGCGGCTCCTGTCCCCAGCCCTCCTCACTTTCTATGTCTGACCTCGGGGTGGGTGTTGTGAAATGAGGGGATAGACACAACACCGACACCTGTAAGGTGAGGGCTGTTTAGATGTAAACTTGTATTGTTGTCTCCGGGACAATCCTCTGTCAGTCTCCCCCATCCCACCACCCAGAGTGAGGCTCTGAGCACACTCCGCGCTGCAAACCCTACTTCCCTAACCCTCACAAAAAAGATTCACAGGTGAAATCAGCCAGGCAGGGGGGGAAGCGAATGTAGTTATTTTTCCTCTGAAGAGCAGCACAGATAAAAGCTTTTTTTTTGTTTTTATAAAAAAAGTTCCTTCTATGTGTAACTATTCATAGAACTAGAACAAACAGACAAAAGTCTACAAGACTGGAAGGGAGCAAAGAGAAAACAGTCCAGGTACACCCAGACCCTAGCGGCGCAGATAAAGTAAAAGTTTTGTGCTTATGAAAATGCAACCCATTTGGCAACAGGACGGTGAACAGTGTGTCATAATGATCTCTGGTGATCGAGGTGAAGCAGACTTACCTTTCCGGAGTTGGAAAAGACCTAGATCCTTGAATGAACCAGCTCCATGGAATCAGTACCTGGACGTGAGCAGCAGCCGCGGGACTCCCAGGTGCGCTGCGCCCCAGAGACAGGCCACCCCACGCTGTCTGTGCGCGGAGGAGGGGCCGTGTGTGTCTGCGCGGGAGAGCGTGGGACAGTAGGCAGGCTGTGGCCAGTGCAGCCAGCTTTGGCTGGCTTATATAGTGAGCTCCTTCCTCTGTAATGGGACGCCTCGCCTCCAGACATCCTTTCCCACTTTTTCAGTTGGCGAATTAAAGGAACAGCCCTCCCAGCGGAGGAGCAGGGTTAGCTCATGAAAGACGCTCTCACTGCCTGCTCCCTTCCAGGAAAAGAACCCATTTGCATACAATTTATGGCGAAAGTAGGAATTCCCGCTCCCCTCCCTCCTGCTCCCGACTCAGAACAGCTGTTAGCGATGTGTGATTTTTTTTTTTTTTTTTGCTTTGCTCCCCAAACGGATTTTCTAATTATGAGACAGAAGCCCAAGGAGGGAGAGGGAGCGGGATCAGGGGGGCTGGCTCTGCACCTCGGCAGCCTGGAAACGTGACCGGGGCTCGCCTGGGCTCTGGGCAGCAGCTGCTCAGTGGCACCTCTGAGAAAGCAAATGAGTTCCTGGAAAGAGGAGATAAAGCCTTTCAGAAGCCTGGGGAGTTTTGGGTTTCTCTGGGCCAGCAGACAGATAACCCGGGCTTAGTTCTCAGCAGGTGGGGGCAGTGTGGGGAGCACAGATTGGTCCCTCTCCTCTCCTGTGGGAGACAGCCATCCATGCCCAGCTGCCTGGAGACTGCTGTCTCCTAGCTCCCAGTGCCTGCGGGGAGCAGCTTTTTGACATTGTTTGTGCCCTGTGTCTGGTCCTGTCTTCTAAGTTGCATCTCCTGGGGGAAGTTCTCTGAGGCTTATTCTCAATGCTGAAAGGTGTCCACCACACTGGAAAAAAAAAGTAATGCTAGGCGAGGAAAAATTTCTCCTCACCCTGAGTTTTTCTGCCTGGTTTAAGAATTAAATTGACTCGAGTTGGGTTAACAGGAGAATATAACATTTAATTTTGTATGGATGGGGGTTTGAGTCTCACACGTGGTCAGGCCATGGGGAGTCTATGCCGTTCTGAACCAAGGAGAAGGGCTGGGAGTGGGGTTCCAAAAGGGAGGGAAGATGAAAATACAAGTATTTGCTGGGGCACACACAGACAATGGGACACAGAGAGCTTTGGTCTCCAAGCCCTGCCCCCATATTCTTCGCAGAAATCTCTGGTGACAGTATTCCTCCTGGACCAGGTCCTTTAAATTCTTTTAGGCAATTAAGGGGGAGGTTTAAAAACAGCCCTCCCAGAGTCTTTTGTTTCTGAAAAATAATCAGCCTAAAATATTCCTCATGCCACAGAGACATATTTTGGGTGGCAACATCCAGTTCCCCCCAGTAACAACTTAACCTCGGAGATGTAAGTTGCACATTTGCTGCCTGCTGTGGGCTGCTTTCAGGCTGTGAGTCACCCGTGAGTCTGGTGGTTAGCCTGCATGGAGTGTCCTCAGGGCACACACAGGCGTTTGAGGGAGTGGGGAAGAAGTGAGGACACAGCGCCCATGCTTGAGCTTGTCACAGCACATAGTAGTTTTGTGACAGTGGAGGGAAATGAGGCATCATGGGACTTGTAGCTGCCGTTGGGCCCTCCTTTTATAGGTCTATATTAGGTGCTGTACAAGGTGCCTTACTGACGCTGTCTTACGACATCCTCCCAACCACCATAGAGGGACACATGCTGTATGACCCTTTTCACAGACGAAGAAACTGAGGTTCAGAGAGTAATGTAACTCGGCTAAGAGAATGCCTCTGGGTAGCAGTCATATTGTAACACTGGGCTCCCTAATTTTTTTAAACATGTTATTTTTAGAGAGGGAGAAGGGGGAGAAAGGGAGGGAGGGAAACATCAACTGGTTGCCTCTTTCACACCCCTGACTGAGAACCAAACCTGTAACCCAGGCATGTGCCCTGCCCAGGAATCGAACCAGTGACCTTTTGGTTCATAGGCCAACGCTTAATCCCCTGAGACACACCAGCTAGGGCTGGACTCCCTAATTCCTATTGTTACGCATGAATACCCAGGAGCTCAGTAAGATGATATTTAAATGATGTTTTATGCCCCATTAGATTATAACACTGATTTATAAAAATCACTGCCATATTTGAATATGGAAGATGTTTCTTTGTTCCACAGAGCAAATTCAGAGATCCTTCAGTTAGCCACCTATTTTAAATACTGAATGATACCATCTCCACGCCTGTGATTTTTAGATGCTATGGACCTCAGTTTCCCCATCCGAAAAAACTGGGACACGATTACCCCTGTGGCGATGCTGGCGCTGGTATTCTAGGGCTCTCTGCTTACGTGACCATCCCAGACAGCAAAAAAGCCCATAAATAGTCATGTCATGAAAAGAGCTCATTTGAACTTTTGAACCATTTTGGCTAATTCAAATGCTATTTGTTTTGGAAGTTTTTAATTCTGTGTTTTAGCCAAAACATATTGCAGTAGCACAAGGCTGTGTTTCCAACCAGTAGAGAATGCCTGTCGGCTTTGCAGTGTCTAGCAAGTTGATCTCCTGGGTTCAGGAATAAAGTCCTGGAATAGTGGATACAGGTTCAAGATGGCGGCGGAATAGGTGGAAGCCACACTAACCTCTTCCCAGGACCAACTGGAATTACAACTAAATTATAGAAGAATCATCCTGAATAATCAATTGAAGACTAGCTGGAAAGAAGCGTTATAACTGAGGACCTACAGAAGAGGTGCGGGAGGGCTGCCTGGGTTCCCACAAAGGTGGCAGCTGAAGTCCCGGAGGGCTGTTTCAGTGACTGGGGAAGGGGGATCCCCCTGAGAAGTGTGGGCTCTAAACTCCAAGCGGGGCTCCCTAGCTTGGAGTACTGGAACTGGGAAAGGAACCCACGTAACATCTGGCAGTGAAAAGCAATGGGATTTCTGTCCACCAGGGAGAAATGGTTAGAGACACAGACACCTTCTTAAAGGGAAAATGCACAAAATTGCACTGATAGCCACTCCCCTGGGCTCTGGCGGAGGGAAGGCAGAGTGGCCCTGGAGGGAGGGTGGAGCCAGAGAACATTATGCTAAGTGAAGTAAGCCAGTCAGAGAAAGACAAATACTATATGATTTCACTCATAGGTGGAATCTAATGAACAAACTGAACTAACAAGCAAAATAGAGACAGACTCATAAATAGAGAGCAGGCTGACAGCTCTGGGTGGGTATTTGGAGCGGGGTGGGGGGATAAGTAAGAAAGAAAAAGTACTCGTGGACAGGGACAGCAGTGTGGTGGTTGTGGGGGGAGAGGGGGGTGGGTGGAGGTGGAAGAGGGTATAAGGGGGGTAGACGATAATGGAAAAAATACAATAAAATGAATTAGGAATAATATATAAACTATGTCACATGGCACATAGATTACATTTATACATAATATACAATCAATATATATTTACAACTATGTATGTTTTAAATGAGATAAAAAGCTTGTTGGACAACTTGTGTGGTAAATATAGCTTCTTCTGGGAATGTCCCAACCTGTACCCTGCACCCTTGTAGTGTTTCACAATCACGGACTAGGGCCGACCACATGGTCTTAGCCAATCACAGCGAAAACAAAGCCAGATATGACCAGGCTGACCCCCAAGGCAGGAAACAGGCCAATAGAACAAACAATAATAGAGCTAAGCATTAACTGTTATAAAAGTATATTTCAATAAAGTACCTAAGAGATGACTAGCTTTATTTAGGTATCTTTAAAAGGGGCCACTCACAGAAAGAGTTTTCTCTACATCCTCTGTGGAATCTTAAGTCCTACGTTGGCTTTTGAGAAAAGGGTCCCAGACAAGGACTTGTTTCCATCCATCCCTGGACTTTTTGCAGGCTCTGTCCCAGGCAAATGGGTCTGTATCCACCTTGTGTTCTGTAATACCAGAGTCTTTGCTAATGCTGTACTCTACCTAAAATCCTCACCTCCACCTCTGCCATATTGTTCAGTTCTGATCTGACCTCACCACGGAGCTTCTTAGATTTCTTCCACAAGGAACACTTCCACGCACTATGACATTTTGTAACATTCATTGCCTGTAGATGGTATAATTGTCTATGTGTGTCTTGTTTTAGCTCCTCCACTCTAGGCTTCCAGAGGAGAGTGACCACACCCACTTTGTCTGTGCCTAGCACAGAGCCTTGGGTATTATAGAGGCTCAGTAAATGTTTATGGAATGAGTGAAGTAACAGAGGAAGAGAAGAATGTTTGACATGATGTACTTTATAATTAAATCCTTTCCTTTTAACCCACAGAACATAAAAAGGAATTTAGATTATTCCATTGCACAGATGGCAAAAGGGGACCCAGAGAGGTGCCTAACCCAAAGCCACCATGGCTGCTTTCCATGTAGATGGTCGCCACAGTTAGAACTGAGCAAGCCAATCACACTAGACATTACAGCGAAGGATATTTATGAGGTTAGCACCCATTCATCCTTCTGGTTGGCAGAGGCCACATGGCTTGGCTTCGGTCTCTTACTTTGCATCCTTCTTAGTATTGTAAGGGCATTTTTCCACGTAAGAGAGCAGAGTAAATGCTTATAAACACCACCTCTGCACGGAGTCCTCAGCCAAAGACTGATTTTGTTGTTGCTTGTTTGCAATCCTTATTCACAGGTTGCTGGTGGAGGCTGTGGTTTGGAGGCCAGAGGGAGTGCAGGGGTTCACCTCAGGTGAGATCATTTCTATTTCCTTGAAGGTCTGTTAAAAGTCGTACATTTTTCCCCAAGGTAGATCAGTCAGTGGTGGAATGTTGGCCAGGACTCACACCCTCTGAGGAAGCTGAGTGTCTATTTCTTTGAGAAGGCTGTCATTCACTTCCCATAGGACCCCTTGCTTCCGATCTCTGCTTACCTACTCCATTACTGTTCCAAAACCCCTCCTCCTCCTCTTCTTCTTGGAATTTACCTAGTGCTAACTCCCATCCAAAAGTCCCATGTGACTCTATCTTGGCCAGAATTTCTCCCGAAGCAGCGAAGGAGCTCTGGTCCAACACAATGGGCTATCATTCAATCAGATGCATTTTTTAGAATGAAGGTTCCCCCAGTCTTTCTTCAGTGCTCTTTTTCTCCATCTCCTATCACTTTTCCTTGGACAAA